GGGGGGGGGGCGTGACAATGTCCAGCTTCTGGAGTAGGATGAAAGCCCAGAATCAGATGCCCTGTTGTGATGGAGTCAGAAACAAATTTTCCCATGTATCTTTGAAGGGGTTTTTGCACACCGCAGCATTAGTGACCAACATAGCCTGGGGAAGAATGTGGCCATGGACCATAGCAACATGCCACACCTGAGCTCAGAGGTGTGAACACAGTTAGTGGCACCTTCAGGTGGCCCTGTTCTTGTGGTGTTGGCTTCAGACCTAGGAGCCAAGTCACTCCGCAGAGCGTTATGGTGCTCCTGAGTGGCTTTCCGGAGGGCTGCATTGGGGTTCGCCTCTTGTCTCTCTCTGACATCTCTGGATCTTCCTTGCCGTTCTTCTCCAGCTTTGCAAATTGTGTAGCGTTGCAAGATGCTGGCCCAGCAAGATCTGCATGGAGGCTGAATGGTGGCAGCTGGCATCGCCTCTTAATATAGAAGTGAGGGGTGTGGCTGCACAGGCAATGTGGTGCAGATCGGTTTGGGAACAGGCTGTGTGCTAAAAAGAGTTGAGTTGCACGTTGCAAAGGCTTATGGCTTTAATACTGAGTCTGAGGTGCAGCGTAAGTACACAGAGGGAAATACAGTGATTTGTTAAGTTCCTCCAGGAGCAAGCACAGGTGGTGCATGGCAGCCTGGGTGCCTCCTCAGGGGTGGCCTGTGGTTAGGAGGAGAGCAGAGCAGGTAGACGTGGCCGGGTGGGACTGCAGGTAGCGTGGAGCCAGCCCAGCTGTCTGTAACGCTCAGGTAACGCGAAGACCAGAGCTGTGGCAGCATGAGATGTCTGCGTGGGCTGGAAAATCGCCCTGCAAACCGTTGCGGAGCTCCACGCTGTCTCTGCTATGCTGCCTGAAGCTTGCTCGTTTAAAGCCAGTACAGGATGAGCTCAATCACAGCAGTGATGGCAACATAGACATGCCCTGTATCCTCTTATAAACCTCGGGAGCTTTTCCATCCCTCCAAAAAGCTGTTTTTAAAGGACTTCTCAATAGTTAATCACGTGAATGAATAAATCATAATTACGATTCAAATAATCATGTGAATGAATAATTCATTGTAAAAAATTGAAAAGGAAATCTCAGCAAGAAGCATTTTACTATCGCAAATGTAAACACCGACTCATTTTTTTGAAAGAAAAGGTATATTTTCCAGCAAAGTATTTTTCATCCCGTTGCCTAATTATGTATAACATGAAGGAAAAATCTTCTTTGTGCGACAGCCATATTCATATAAATGCAAAAACATGCTTCCTTTTGCAACAGCCGTCTTCAATGCTAATGAGTGAGAAAGGAAAAAGGATTAAGTGACATTTAAATCATATTCACCTCCTTCCTGAGGACAGAGCCAAACAAGGCAGCCACAGTCAGCCGGTCAAAATGTCCAGAGCCTGAAGTAACTGTATATTGCCAGCTAGTTAGAGAGGAATTGGGAGGAGAGGTAATGAGGGGAGTGTTTTCTTCTAGGTCTGTGCTGCTAAGAGAGTGTAGGCTAAGCATATGGCTCGCAGCCAGCAAAGGCATCGGATACTACGATGATAAAAGCCTGGTTAATAATATTTAGAACCGACAAAGGGCTTTCAAGGGAAAGCCAGACTTTCATCCTGGGAAGGATGGAAGCAGCCTCACCTGTTAGCCCCATTGTCAGAGGGAGTAAGTCCACCATCAGGAGTTTCTGTACGCTTTCAGGTGCCAAAGCGTGACACGGATGGAGCAAGCCACAGGTTTTCTAAAGCCAAAAGAGCTGGTAGCCTGATTGCCTGTGAAATGCAGTTTTGGTTCCCAGGGAGACTAAGTGCTGACTGTGTGGCGGTAAACAAAAAAATGAGCAAGCTGCTTGGTACCTGAGAGGAGGGGGGAATTCCATCCGCCCCAAGTGAGAGGAGAGCGGCCGTATTTACCTGTGTCTGTTATCCCCGTTTGTCCTCTCCACTGTCTGACAGGTTGTCTCCGTCTGTGGCCGGTCCGATGCCAGTGCCGCGCTTGCATCATGGCAATGACATTAAGAAATGGAGGCCGGCGAGCCACAGGCACGGAGTGACTGGCTCAAGGTCAACTACAGCCTGCGGCAGGGACGGCAACGACACCGGGGGGGCTCCGCGGTCCCTCAGCTCTGGGCACTGCCCGGAGCCGGGCGGTGCTTTGACAGTCCCCGGCGGGGTTTTTGGCTGATGGGGCTGGGGCAGGTTTTCACGGGGGGGTGAGGGAAAGAAGGGGACGACGACGACGACGACGACGACCGGTGCCACCCCTTGGGCAAGGACTTGCGAAGCGCCTGGCCCGAGAGCTGCCACCTCGGGGGTGTCGTGTGTGTGTGTGTGTGTCCCCCCAAAAAAGAAGCCGGACGCCCCTGGAGAGGGCGGGAGGGGGGATGAAGGAGGAGGAGGAGGGGGGG